TTTTTTTTTCATTTTTTTCTAATCGTTATCTTATTAAAGGGATGTTATTAAGAAAACAATATAACAATTAACGAACGTTATATTATTTATTGTCAAGCAATAAATGATTAATAGATTTTGGTTTTAGTTTTTTTCGTTTTTCTTTTTCTTTTTTGGATAGAAAAGTTGTATATTTTTATTTCTTTCATGTTTCTATCACAGCAGAAGATTGAGAAGCCGATGCGACGATATAACCGGTTTACTTTCACAGAAGTTGATACGCTAGTATCATGGAGTCGTATAACAACTGATTTTTTATCTTACTCGGTTTATGCACCCTATAGATATATGTAGATAGAAAATGAAATGTAGATAAACGAATTTGATAATATAATATTATCGATCTAGACAAGACTAGATGAACATTTAATACACACACGAGTTTACAGTTACTTCCGGTTTACCCATTAGAATCCCATTAGATAATACGTAACGCGTAACAAAGTAAACAATAGCATCCTTAATATGAACGCGAACACGTAATAGTAGTAGTATAGTAGCGTTATCACGATGCATAACGTAGGTTTGTTAAGGCCTCGAAAGATTTATAGAACAAGGAAAATTTTCCTAGTTAATCCTTCACATAACAACGATTCCCCATTATAATTTCTAATAATACTTTGAGTAATTTACAAATGCTTTCTTCTCGATTGATATATTTCGCTCTCTACCTTTTCTTGTTTGATCGTACATACACCTTCAAGGAAATGTTACTTTTTAGATCGAAAATCGATTAGCACCAATGCGTTTTTCCTCGACTACTGTTAAAGAGATACAAGATACATTTGTCTCAGAAATGGACAAAGGTATCCATCAAGAACCGTCATCCTTACAGATGGAAAACACTTATGTACCGGAACTCGTAGATGGAACAGGTACTTTATTTTTCTAAATATTTTGATTAAAAAAAAAAACACAAAAAAAAAAAAAACTCAACTTACGTGTCTTACATTTGTCGTGAGATTAATTGATTTATGTAATATTATTTTCAGAGGCGGGACGTTTTTTAGCTCTAGATCTTGGAGGGACTAATTTTCGAATTCTTTTAGTGGAATTGAATAAGGGCACAATTGTTAGGGAGGAAGTTAAAAATTATCACATCGGATCTGAATTAAGGGTTGGCCCGGGTCTTCGTCTGTTCGATTATTTAGCCGAATGCGTCAGTGATTTCGTTATTGGCCAGGGTCTTCAGAATGTCGAAGTACCTTTGGGTAAATTAAATTCGATTATTTGTCCGTTGAAAATTTTCTAAATGATTTCCATCATCGATATTATTACATTTATATTTTAATAGTTTTGTTTAGTAGTATATACTGCGTGTAATTTGTAATCATTCATTTGTATAATAATGAATATTAATTTCACATTACGTATTTTAATTTATCTCATTAAATATTCGTTTCCAATTTAGGATTTACATTTTCCTTCCCGATGATTCAACATTCGCTCGATGTTGGAATTTTGGTGACATGGACTAAAAGTTTTAATTGTCCAGACGTTGTGAATAAGGACGCAGTTCAATTACTCCGAGATGCACTTGCACGTCGAGGTGATACCAAAGTAAGAGTCGTAGCAGTGTTGAATGATACTACAGGAACATTAATACAAGGAGCAACGTTGGATCCCAATACAGCTATTGGACTCATCCTGGGTACAGGTAGTAATGCTTGTTACCTTGAACGAGCCGACAGGGTCGAACATTGGGAACCAGAAAGACATGGAGAAAGAGAAGTTAGTATTTGCTAATGAACATATTTTTTTTCTAAATATACTCATTTGATTTCTATTTTTTAGGTTGTAATAGATATCGAATGGGGTGCCTTCGGTGACAACGGTGTTTTAGACTTTATTAAAACAGACTTCGATCGTGAGAATGACGCAAATTCGCTTCTCGTAAATTCGTTTACGTAAGTTTCCGTATTCTTATACAATCATTATTTAGTATCTAATAATATATCATAAAAAAACATCCTGCTAGATGTTATAAAACTAAAAAGAGATTTTTAAATATTCTAGATTTGAAAAATATATCGGTGGAAAGTATCTCGGTGAAATAGTGCGTATCGTGTTGACTAAATTTACAAAAGAAGGACTTATATTTGTAAATCAAAATCCATCGCTTTCTTTCTTCACACCAGGAACGCTTACCTCAGATTTGGTATCATATATTGAACAGTAAGTATTGACAATAAATTCAAATAAATGTTATCTCTAAACTCTAATTATTTGAATTATTCCTTGTTCAGAGACACCGTAGATGGCAGTACTGATAATACAAGAGAAGTTCTAGCAAAATATGATATCATTCCAACGGAAGATGACATAAACGTTGTACAATACGTTTGCGAAGTTGTTTCTAATCGTGCTGCGCTTCTCGTTTCTATATGTAAGCTGAGATAATACTAATATTTGTTAGTACTAATAATAGAAAGAGATGTCTCTAAAATTATTGGGCTTTTGCGTAGGTCTTGCGGCGTTGTTGGAACGAATTGATAAGAAGAATGTGACGATTGCGATCGATGGATCTCTGTATAAACATCATCCTCGATTGGAAGGTTGGATGAATCAATACATCGCTTTGCTTGTCCCCAGTCGTAAGGTATGTTCCGATTGATTGACTATTCTTTTCGTATTTATTTTTCTTTACTTTCAAATCTTTTTTTTCTTAGTTCAAATTGATTCACGTCGAGGATGGGAGTGGAAAAGGTGCAGCGCTTGTTTCTGCGATCGCGCAAAGGATTAAAAACAGATTAACATAATTATTATCGATGGAGAAGTGAATAATAATCACTACTCCGTCAATACGTAATATTATATCAGTAGTGCAAGCATTCCATGGCAGGACAATTTCCTGGTTGTGTTAAAAAAAAAAAAAAAGGGTAATAGTCAAAATGATATAACGTTAACTATATTTTCATCAAAGTTGTTACATTTACCATCTTTAACTTCGTTGAGTATCATCTTTAGGATTTTCGTTAGAAGACATTCGTTCGTTCCCCAAATCTTCGGAAATAAACTTTCGCTCTCATCGGCAATTTCGATTCGATAAAAATATATATATGTATGTCATATATATATGTATGAGTTTTAATCTCTTTTGTAAATACATTTTCCATAATCAACGTAGAGTTATATAAAAGGGTTCTTTTTCTTTTTCTAAGAGAAAGCTTATTTTACTATAGAAATGTGTAGTAAAAATCGATGAAACGTTTGTAAATTAAAATCAAATCGTTGGAAACATAATTCCGTGATATTAATATATAAATAGATAGGGAAAAGGAGAATAAGTAACATAATTATTCGATTAAGAATAAATGTATACAGAAATTGAATGAATATGCAATCAAAAAGTTTCATCAAAATTTTGTGATAATAGATGCACAAATAATATTAATACTACTACTACTACTACTACTACTACTACTACTACTATTAATAATGATAATAATAATGATAATAATAATCATAATAATACGTAGATATTTGACACTCGAATCGGCTGTTAGAGAAATTATTACAGAAAGTTTAAACGAAAATCCGTTGTTATATCTATTAGTAAAATTAAAAATAAAATAAAAGAGAGAAGAAAAGAGAGAAGGCGAATGTTTATAAAATCTATTTTTACGAGTATCCTGTGAATGTATACACTATATAATTGTATACGATTGTTACAATAAAAAAGAAAGAAAAAAAGAACAACAACAAAAAAAATCTTATTCCATAAAGATAAAAAATGGTAAAAATGAAAAAGAAAAAAATAGGGGTAGTTTTGAAAAGGGGGTTGCAAAGTAGGTGGCGGGAAATTTGAAAATAAATCGATCGGTAAAATCTATTGGACGATGAAAAGGAAGAAGGGTCGAATAACGAGAGGCGTTTCTCGTTTATAAGTCGTCGATAGGCCTATCGATCCTGTTGCTAGGCGGTAGGACGGGAGGGCGTTCGAGTATCTTAAGTTAGATTTTAGGATTAGCCGTCAGATGTCGTTGTGATGGCGCGCGGCTCGCTCGCGGAGTGACAGCTCGGCGAGAACTGTCGGAGCGCGTTTACGCGGCCGTTTCTCTTGGATATAAGGATACGACCGGCCCCCCCGAAATCGGTTAAATTTAAACGCGTAAACGGGCTGACGTTAACGATAATCTCTCGTTTAAGGAAGTGCGATTATAGTCTACTTTGAAAATCGAGAGGTCTCGTAGGTAACGGTGGGCGTGCACGCAGGAGGGAACGGCTCGCCGGCTCGGTCAGTCTACTAGAAGATTCCATTGTGTGAGAGTGGGCTTTGAAAAAGTTTCGACTGGAAGGAGCTACATTATTTTTCGCGCCTTTTCAAGACGTACCATTTGTTCGGATCTACCAGAAAGAAGAAAAAACCGAGGTACCAATGTCTTCTTCATTATTTCATTAGGTTTTTTTATTGTACTTGCTAGGACGACTCGCTAAAGCGGTGTCAAGAGAATGAGAGGAGCGCGCGTAAGTGTGAGTGAAAGAGAGAGATATCAAAAGAAAGAAAAAAAAAAGAAAGAAAGAAATAAGGAGAGAGAGAGAAAGAGAGCGAATGAATAAGCGAATGTGTGTGTATGAGAGAGACAGAAATGGATAGAGAGTCGAAACAAGGGGTTACCAAGGATAAGAAGGCAATAATGCAGTAGTAGTAGTAGAATTGCAATACTAGAAGAAATAATGCACTACTGGTTGGTAATGTTAATGTCAGTGACGACAACTACGAGAGTGTAATAGTAGTGGTGAGAAGAATAGAGTGATGATGTGTTGGTAGTGGTACAAAGCGGGTTTGAGGTTACGCCGGTGATCCTCGCGTTCAGCTGAGCTCTCAGCTGACGGCCGGCCGTTCCAAGACCAGACCGGCATTGCGTGTCCTTCTAGTTGTCCCTGCATTTCCTGGACAGGTTCTATTTCTCTCTTTTGAGTAGAATAGAGCCAAAAGCGCGATAGACAAAAAGATCTATTAATCCTAATAAGCTGACTTTTATACCTTCTCACATCTACTTCCTTTAAATTACATATCTCCTTCTCATCCAGCAAAGTTGCTTTTAAAAAAGTAGGTTGAAGTAGGAGAATAGAGAAATGGGGTGCGCAAAAAGTGGATAATCGAGTCTTGGATGCGTCTCGTCTACGTCTCGAGAGTAGAGTAATGCATTTCGAAGAAGTTGAATAATAAAGAAGAGAAACTAAAGAAAAATAATATAACAAAAAAGAAAATAGATTGGGAGTAGAGTTTGTATAGCGTTATAAAACGAAATAACGAAATAGAGGAGGAGGACATAGAATAGAGGAGAAGAAGAAGAAGAAGAAGAAGAAGACTTAAACCGTTATCATTTTGCAAATTGACTCGGTTTCCCGCGAAGTATCGCCGAGGTCACCGCGCCCGGCTGCAGCTGAGCTCTCAGCTGACGAGCGGAGGCTGCGACCGGTTCGCCATATTCCTTCCTTTTTTTAAAGGCCACCCCCTCTCCACACCGCCTTTAAATCGCCTTTCACGTGGTCCGCGATCTTCCTCTTCTACCTCCCACCTTCTTCTCCTCCTTCTTCTCCTCCTATCTTCTTGATTCTCGGCCCTTACGTTTCATCCTAGAAAATCCCATTGTTCATCGTAGTTGTCGTTGTCGTTGTCGTTGTCGTTCGTCGTTGTGTCGTGCGAATCCGAGGACAACCGACTTCGTGAGCAGCAGATCCAGTTCCGAAGCGTTTCTTTGTCGGCGAATCTACGAGACAAGCCGCCGATAATAATACAAAGGCGTAAACTTGATTTTTCCTTCTACTTTGATGAAAAAGGTAATATTATATGTGGTTATAGAAATTACACGCATGTAATACATACACAAAAAAAAAGAAAAAAAAAAAAAAGAGACACGTATATCGATATTTATCAACGTCTTTCTTTTTAATTCTTTTAAAAGCTACCTTCAAGGTATTCATGGATATCGAATCGATATCAGCTTGTTGGTAGGCAAGCTTCAGTATAGAGAAGAAGAAAGTATATCTTTTTTTTTTATTTTAATCCTTGAAAAATATCAGAAATTTGTGTTTTGTACTGGGGGGGGGGTGGGAGTTTTATATATTATTTAATAATTAATAAGAAAAATACAAACTCGTACGTATATTATATTCTAATAAAAATGTACCCTAGTAGCACAAAATATAGAAAAATATTGAATACATGTGTATTTAATATTAAAAAGACATTAAATCTTTTTTTTTTTATTATTCAACATTTTTCAATATTTTGTGCTACTAGGGTAGTCAATGCCGATACTTTAGTTCACCAGAAATATATATGTATGCACATATACACAATAATTGTTTTAGATGAAACAATCCTAGACAATCGATTCGATATCAATGAGATGAATAAAATAAAGATGTTATTTAAATTACGTAACGCGTGATCCCACTTTTCAGCCATTCTACGGGCACGATCTTCCGCTCGAGCGATCGTGACGATCGACAAAGCGTATAATAATCGGCTAGAATGTATGCAATTAACGAGAACTGCGTGCGTAATCCGTCTAAAACACAAAGGCTAGTTCACCATCATCCGATTTGGACGAGCAACAACCGCTAACGAAATCCGCTGATAACCGGTTGTCCTTCTCCTTCTCGTCATTCTCGTCATTCTCGTCATCGTCGTTATTGTCGTTGTTCGGTGCTACGTAATAATTAGTTGCTAGACAACTAATTCTCGTGATTTCGAGTTTAAAGCGAATCGTTCTACGTAATCGATCTAAATAATCTTTACCTGGAAAGATCGAATAATAATAAATAATTGGAGGAAAATATCTTACAGCACATATCTAAAAAAAAAAGAAAAAGAAAAAAAAGAAAAAACTTGAAGGCAACCGACGGTGGAATTGCGGTACACCATGGAAAATTAACGCCGTCCAGTAAGAAGGAGGAGCCTTGGTGCATTCGATGTTAACGGCATCTTTTTATATACTTAACTTCTTTTTAAACGTTTCTTGTTATATTATCAAAATACAATCACGAATGTATACTTATAGAGGTGCAAAAAAATCAACTATAACTATTCCCCTATTATCCTCCCCCTTTCATTTTCTTGCTAACCAATTTCACGTTTACCTTTACGAATGATATATGTGTATGTAGTTTTAATATTTTCATCATTTTAATAATATATTTACGTGCATGAGAATGATGTGAGATGAAACAAATAATATAGATGAATGATTCAAATGAAATCTAAGTTAAATTCGATCATTTGCATAGCATAGCATAGCATAGGTTCGAGTACTAGCTTAGTAATAAAACGTATCGAGAGATAAATTGGAGCAGGCTGACGAGGAGGACTAAGAATAATCAGAGAGTGCAAGGGAGGTCAAAAGCTAAACTCGCGCTCTAGCTCGTTCGTTCGTTTTCACGCGAAAACATGGCACCTGGGCTTAGCTTGAATCTTTAAAAGCGATGTGTGGAGTAAACGTTGAGAATAAGACGCGCGGTAATCCCCCATCCAACATGAGTGTGTTAAGAGCTTGCTAGAAAACATACGTTTGGATCTTAGCCAATGAGGAGTTGCTCATCGAGGTCGACTTTAGCTGAGCGTAGTAGACAGCATGGCGCATCTTAGGTGACTTAGTCTTCTTAGTTCTTCTTAGATATCTTAGTCTTATTCAAACCGATCGAACCACAGATCTATTTTTCATCTCTAGAAAAATATTACGTGAAATAACACGCGTTGTGAATATTAAACGTGTTTTTTTTTTTTTTTTTATCTATTTTTATCCTCTCTTGAATTTAAAATGGAAAGGTATCATCTCTGGATTGTTGCATTTTCAAGATTTATTTCAATTCGTCATTAGTTAACAGAGAGAGAGAGAGAGAGTTAGTTAGTTAGTCTTGGCAAAGTATCCTTCTTTTCTTATCGTTTAGAATGTTTAGTTTCTAATAAAACAACGAATTTTGTGGTAAGAATTATAGCTCGTAAAAATAAGTAGAAGTACCTAACGCGACGTGAGTCTAGTTTAGGATACTTTACGAGGATAGAGGAAATATCATTTCTTTTTTTTAATATATTCGAATTTATTGTTTAGATACATAAAAAATACGAACGATATTCGCATATTTTTACATACGTATATTTATCATATTTTAAGGATCGATATATCAATATATTGATCTCGAACACGAGATGGGCCTTTTTTGTTATTCTTTGCTCTCGCGTTACACGATTTTACACACAATAAGCGTGTGGATGCATTGTAGGCGAATAAAGCGTAATAAGAACGGTATAAGCCATTTAAGAGGAGAATTTCTTTTTTATCGAGCCGTGGGATCGAGACTTTATTACTTGGAAGATTCACGTATGTCCGTTAGAAAATATGGAGAAACTTAAGCGAAGAGAAAAAGGGTTGCGTTGTCGACTCAACGAGTCTTTCTTTATTTTCTAATGTGAATTTGTTTTTTTGTTTTTTTTTTTTTTGTGCTGACGTTTCGCAGAAAGGAGTGGTTATACTATTATATATATATGTATATGTATAGTAGCATATTATATATATATATATATACATCTCCTCTCCTTCTGTCGATGATTTACATGAGATCTTGGCGAGAACTCTCGCGATGCAATCGATATGCACACGTGCATGCAAAATATAATATATACTTTAGTATAGTTGCTAAGGCTTATCGAAAGAAAACCGTTCCATCGAAGAATTTAGTTTTTTTTTTTTATTTATCGTCATTTTCCTGATAATTGATAAAGTAAATAGAAGCTTGATTATATTTTCTTGATTAATTACTACGTATCTCTTTGTCTTAAAAAAAAAAAAAAAAATAAGAAATAAAAAATTGTGTTCATTTTAGTATTAGAAACAGGAACGATAAAATTGGCACGCGCTTTACCATTTAGCCGATAAATCTGATTTAGAGTTTTAACAGGGATTTTAACAAGAAGATCACGATCATTGGTGGAGAACGTCAAACGACGGCAGCAGATAAAGTTAATGCGAGGATTCGTTAAAATTCATGGAGAGTGCAAATTAACCGTGATGCGTACGACCAGGTGTCCCCATAAACGAGCTCTCCCTGGGAGGATTCGATAAAGAACGTTCTCTCTACGTGACCTAACCCACCATACGACTATGTATGTATGTATGTATGTATGTGTGTGTTCTCTCTGTCTCTCTCTCTCTCCTTTCTATTATCTCTTCTATTCTCTCTTTTCTGTTTTATGTTATAAAGTTTGAAAGAAATAAAGAGAAACGTGCCACACAGGTAATCGTACGTACGCATTTGCGTTTAGTTATTAACTAATGACTTTTTTTATACACATGTAAAAATATGTATATATATATATATATATATATATATAAATTACGCCTCTATCTCTCATGTGATCCCGTTCCTTCCGTATTTTACGACATTTTAACGATCGAACGGCCAAAGTAGTTTGCCATATCCTAACGACTTACCTCCTACACGACGTTTATCTTACTATAAGTCTTTCGAATCCTTATTATACAACTTTTCTAAGTAATTACTAAAAAGACCTGAGATTAACAACGATATTTTACTTACGAAATCAAATTTATCGTTCGATCCTCGTATGCTAATAAAAACAAAACAAAGTGATTTACATGTAATAAATCTTACGATAACGAGTTTACATATACATACATAAATACGTACATACATGCATATATAATATATACGTAAATTAATTAATTAATTTCAATCGGTAATTCGTGTTATAACAAAGCCACGCGTTAACGATGAATTTCAAAAAAGAAGAAAAAAAAAAAGGAAAAAGGAGAAAAAATTACTTACCTATCCAACGTAATGTCTATTGTTAATTCCAACAGAACTGAAGAAGAAAATCGTTCGATCTCTCTTTTTTCTTTTAGAAAGGAGGAGGAGCTGTGGAAAACAAGGCTATTCTCCTTCTTCAGGTAATCTCTTTCTCTCTCTCTCTCTCTTTCTCTTTCTATCATTATATACCGTGTTCACGAGCCATGAAGGCACTCCCACTGGTGGGGAGTTTGTTGTTTTTTATTTAATCTTCCTTGGAGCTCGCGTTTGTTCGTTCGTTACGATTTAGCTAAGAGATATATACGCAACCGATAGAAATCTGTTAAGCATTAAAAGCTTTATTAAAGGCCTCTTCTGCTTGAATTAGCGGCGGGGGTCTAGTCATAAGAACAATAGGTGAGAACGTGATGGAAAAACGTAAGAAAGAAAGAGAGAGAGAGAGATAGAGAGAGAGAGAGAAACTAAAGGGGAGAAAGGAAGGTGATGGGTGAGGGAAAAGGAGGAGGAGGAGGAGGAGGAGGAAGAGGGGAGGTACACCTTCGAAGAAGGCGAACTCGAGTCGCGCGGATTTCTCTCCTTGGCAATCAGGCTCGTATTCCGCGTCTCTCCCTGAACACCGGGGCTATCTCGAGCAACTACGAACTAGTATATAGTATATCCTATGTTTCCCCTTTCCCCACCCACTCCCTTCGACCGCCATTACGCTATTATCTGTCTCTGGGTCGTTATATCGCCGTTAAAAGAGCCGACGTCACATTAAACGTACGATCAAAGAGTTACCGGTCTTAGGAGTTTTAAGTACCCATAGGTGGTAGTAATAGTAGTAGTAGTAGTAGTAGCTGGTACCTAGTGCACAATCTTTCTCTTTCTCTTTCTCTTTTTCTCTCTGTTTCCGAAAGATCGCGACTCCGGGTCTCCAACCAAGAAACTTTAACGTGCGATGAATATTAATACACAACTTACGATACCATACATAAATCTTCTCTCACGGTGCCGACTACTTTCGGATACATCAGGATATCGCATCTTTTAATGGGAACGTTCTTAGAGTAATCTTTCTTTCTCCTTAGTGATTTTCAAATCACTTTGACGTTACGTACGAACGAGAACTATGTTCATCCTGATGAGAGAGAGAGAGAGAAAGAGAAAGAGTACGGTCGTCGTTCGCGTGCAGCAAATCGTATGCGATACCCCCCACCACCCCCTTCCCCACTCATCCTTTTACCACCCCCCGTTAACTAACAATAATATATGTATATCATATTGTCCTCTTCTTCCGACAAGTGACAGGACGTGCTTTGTTCAAATGATCGAAGCGTTAATAACACGAATTTTCTTTTTTTTCTTTTTTTTTTCGGTGTCTTATTACGATTGGATGAACGATCTCGATCGCAATAGTACCGTAATACTAGTGTATTTTTGTTCTTTCTTTGGTTAACTCGAATTCGAATTCTTTTTTCTTTTTTTTTTTTTAGGTATGGTGAAAATTTGTTCTCGCGTGTTGGAAGGTCATGAAGCTTGGACGATAACACCTTGGTGTCTGTACGTGTGTGAGTGTGCATTAAAATCGAGGTTTTTTTTGTTCGTTATCATCGTAGTCCAATCGATTCGTATTCGGTTCGATGCGTACCTTACGGACCGTGCACAACGTCCAACTATTTTCTAGCCTTCTTCTCCTTCATCTTCTTCTTCTTCTATTATCAAAGTCTCTTAAAACAATCCCCCTTTCCTTCCCTTTCCATTCCCTTTCCTTCGTTTAATTTAATTACGGAGAAAGGGTGACCAAGCCCTTTGGCATCTATTCGAAGAGTAGCAACAGCTTTATCGCATCTTGGGTACCGTAGATGTTCGAGTAAACGAAAAGGACGCACATCAAGTCCGCCGCATATATTGGGAATGCGAGCCAACGCTTGTCCAAGCGGTAGCAGCACGTTGCTGCATTAATAATTCATACCGAAGCATCGGTTCCTGAACGTGAACGAACGAGAGGGTTTAGCCTTTCGATAATAAATATTTAGAATAACTGAGAAAACCCCTTTACCGATACCTTCGTTCCTTTCTTTTTCTTTTTTTTCTTCTTCTTCTTCTTCTTTTCAATTTTAACCCTTTCATTTTTTTTTTGTATTTTTTATTGGCCTAGTATAGCAAAGTTAAATATTGACCGGTCGTACGATTCATATGTGTGTAAGTGTGTGTGTATAACTATTACACTTTTCTACTACACATGCTTATGCTCTAGATCATCACCCCCCTCCACACCCCCACACACCCCCCTATCTAACTTCAATTAATGCTTTTTCGATTAATACGGTTTTTTGTATATATAATTGATTTTTTATTTTATTGGGGAATAAATTTGTTGAGAAATATACAAATATTATATATGATTAAAAATTCAATAAAATATGTTCGTAAATATTCGTTGATAATTGTCGGTTCTTTTATTGATCACTTTTTTTTTTTTTATACTGAAATATATTTAAAAAAAAAACGCATACACACACACACAAATTTATTTGATAAAAGAATAAATTTGTTCGAGTAACCGTTTTAACATGTTTATTTTCTGCAAGAGTGCAATCGTGAGGAAACATTATGTAACAATAGTCAGCGTCTTTTTCAAGATCAAAATACATATTTAAACTTTTATCCGTATTTTCTATTCGCGTGTATACATTTTCTCCGGGACATGTAAACAGTCGAGACAGACAGTTACAGTTCGGCCGTCCTTTCGTACACACGTCGGTTGCGATGCGTGCCTGGTAAGAATATTATTCTCTTTTTTTTTTTTTATTATTTTCACGATTTTACAGTAATTATTTATAATTATTTATTCATTATTATCGTTCATTATTGATTTCTCTTTTTCTCATTATTTTTTATTAGTTTTTTTTTTTTAATAAATGGTAGATTTATTACTTTCGTTCCCGTACCCTTTGAGCAAAAGTATGACGAATCGTAACACAGATACATAGTTGTTTCCTTTTAACTTCCGCTATTCTATCGATCAATAAATAATTTCCTAGTTTAGTAGTTTGTTCGATTTTATCAATTGAAAATTAAAAAGTATGAAGAGAAAAAAACAAATAAAAATAAGAATAAAAAGATTGTGTTGTAGTAGTTGCAAAGGTCGTGGCCGGTCGATTCGAGAAAACGAATTAGCTCGGGTCGATGAAACACAAACGATGTTTCTTCTCTCTCCTCTCTCTTTTTTTTTTCTCTCTCTCTCTCTCTCTCATGTTTGGTATTATAGTAGTAGCGTGTTGCTACAGCTAGCACACGCTAAACTCGTAAGCAGCAAAGCCTCGGACACAACCAACCCAAGTGGAGGACATCGAACTCGCGGCTACGTGTTTTGCGAAAAGAAGACGCGTATCACTTAGGAGACGAACGAACGAACGAACGAACGAACGAACGAACGAACCTACGAACGAACCTACGATCGAACGATCGAGTTAGCTTTTTCCTTTCATGGATACCCCAGAGAACTACGAGGAGGGATTATCGTTGAAACGACACAGCTCTACTAACATTTCCACGGTTTATATAATAGGAAAGTCTCGTGTATCGGCACACGCGTGATCGTCGTCTTATTTACGCAATCTTATAGAAATTCCCTAGGATTTTCTTATTTTTCTCTTTATCGATCTTCCTTAAGTCTAAGAATTGTTTTTAACCATTTTCGGACTTATTCAATTTGGACATGGGTGTCGTAGTGGTCGGAATTAATTATATATATTTTATTAAATATATTTATATATTATTTATATATATATATAAAAATTAATATTTTATAATAATATAATAATTAAATAATATAATTATATTGTATATATATTATTATTTATTTATTATTAAATTAATATAATATTGATATGTTATATTAGTATTATATTAATTATATTTATTTATTATTTTTATATTTATATATATATATATATATATTTAATAATAATAATAATAATAATAATATTTAAATATAATAATATATTATATTATATAATAGTTATATTAATATTATATTATAAATATATTTATTATGTAAATATATAATATATATATATATATATATATAAGATTAGCACGCGGTTTCTTGTGTGGTGGCTGAAAGTGAACACGCGTCCAAAAAAGGGTTAACTCAACCTTTTTTTATTTTCTCCTTCCTTCTATTAACAATCATATCCACTTCCCTAAAACTTACGCGATATATTCTAAATCGAATTAGCCTAAATCGTATGATACAATTTTGCATTTCACCTATAATCATCGATCCATATACATAACCATATATAAACGTACACACAACCAACTATCAATGTTAAAACTTTCCATATTTCCAAGTATCGTTCGATTCATCTCACACACACACACATACAGTTATTTTATATTCTCACATACTAACATATTTCTATATGTACGATTTGTTTTAGATATTTAACTATAAAACATTAGAAGAGATTATTTCATTTACTTTTAATTCGAAATAAAAAATAAATATATTTTATGTTTAAAGATTTGATAGATTAGTTTGATTATCATCGGTATAAAATGTTTATGGTTATGGATAAAAATCAAGAACTTACGAGATGGGAGGGAGAGAGGGAGGTGATTACTGTATAAGTAAAAAGAGAGAGAAAGAAAGAAAGAAAGAAAGAAATGTAAGAGAAAAGGATAGAGAAACGCTTGATCTGATTCGAGTCGTAGTCGGCAAAGCGTGACGAGTCGAACGTGAACTCGCTTATTCCGTAACCTTAATAACCTTGACCTAGGCTTTCGTTCTCTCTCTCTTTCTCTCGAGGGAGAAGAAGAAGAAKGGTGTGAGTGAGTGAGTGAGTGAGTGGGTGAGTGAGAAAGGGTAGAGGAGGATCCATCAATCAGAGAAAAGACCTGCGGGCTACTACTATACGATATATCGATCGACGATTGCGCAATCCCTAAGACCAAACGACTATTTTTATATTTTCAGTTCGTGTCACAATACTTATACGATTCGTTAGTTTGTCATCGACTTTTTTTTTTAAATATTTTTTTGTTCTTCTTTTTCCCTACCTGTGTGTACTATCAAGTCGTTTGGTTTATTATTATTATTATTATTATTATTATCGTAGAAATCATTTCTTGACTACTTTCTCATTTATATATTATTGGATTGGCAAGAAAGTAATTTGAATTTTCTAAGTGTAAAATAAAATTCAATTGTTTTGTACAATTAACAGTTGTAAACAAAATTATATACAGAATTTGTTTCTATAACAACTTTAAAGTGTCAACTATTAAATCTCAAATGAAAAAAATTATTCTAACACATTAACAAAAGAATAATGAAACAAACATAACTTTATTTATTGGTGCAAGCTGCAATTACTTTCTTACCCACCCAATATATATATATATATATATATATATATATATATTTGAATTATTTATTTATTTATTTATTTATTTATGACAAATTTATTCTAGAGTTTCTTTAAAAGAAAGTTTTAGGTTATAGGCTCACTGTATTTATCTATATAGATATCGTGTATCTTCGAATAGATCATAGAGAAAGGATTTCGTTGGCCTGGAACTTGGCTGGCTTCGACTTGAGAAAGTAGGTCAAGTTCGTAGGAGTGCATCATCTTCCTTCGTCGAATACTACTTTCCACGTAAATCGTTGAGCGAGCTTGGTAACCACCGGGTTGACAGTACTTTGAGGGCTTGACTTGAAATATTTTTCAGTTAACCCCCTTTCGGTAGGTTGCATTTTTTCAACGAGTTTTTCTATCTATCCTAGTTTTATATATATCTGTTGATATTAAAGTATGGATTTTATATAAACGACAATAGAACAAGTTTGGTATGAAAGATAACAAAAAAAAAAAAAAAAGAAGATATCTGTAAAAGGATATCACAAAATATCGATCGTTGTAGTATAGAGAAAGAGAGTATACAGAGAACTATGAAACTACGAATTATACAACCAACAACGATGATAAACATAAATGAAGAAGGATGAGAATGTATCTCAGAAATGTTGAAGGGAAATTAATTAGGGAGAAACTCATCTCCGCTGACACGTGCGCTTTTCTCCCCGCTAAATTATTACGTATTTTCTCGTCCAAAGGTAGAGAAAGATTCCTGACCTGGAAAGAGGCTCGACTCGGAAGAACGAGTAAATTAACCGTAAGGTTTCCGATTCGTACGCCGGTCCCAGAAAGTTGTCAGGCGATCGTTATTCCTTCTTTCACGTACTTACTTACTTACTTACTTACTTACATACTTACTTACATACTTATGTTTTATGTTACGAGTGAAAAGAACAACAAAAAATTAGAAATCCCTCAAAGATTTGTAATATCACCATCATCATCATCATCATCATCATCATTTTTAGTAGCACAAAATATTGAAAAATATTGAATACATGTGTATTTAATATTAAAAAAATATTGAATCTTTTTTTAACACCAGGTTGTTTCTCGCCAGGCCCAAAATTCGACTGTCTACGTAACGTAAAGAAGCGATTAGTAGAAATATCAACAAAACGACCCGAGTATATTATAGTTATATTATATTATTATATTTTATTTATTGAAAATAATGTTAATATATATATATAAATTACGTGTCACGTTGTTTGTTCACAATGGACTCCTAAACTACTGAATCGATTTTAATCAAATTTTGTACACTGTGTGCAGTTTCATCCAACTTGAAAGATAGAATAGTTTATATCTTAATTTATAATCGCAATATTATTATATTACGAATGATTTGTTTATTAACAAAGAGGGCACTCTGCACTCACACTTTGCACTCGAGGGCTCCGTTACAGAGACAATAAAAGAAAAAAAAATTAATAAATAAATAAATAAAAATTGAAACAAATTCAATTCAATTAACAACATATCAATTATGATTTTTCTTTTATAACTACACATATATTATGTCATTCATTTATAATACTTGACTATGATTTTCTTGTTTCTATTGAAATTGTTTTGTCGATAAATTGTTCGATAATATGTGAAATGAAAAATAATAACTTCGAGTGTATAAAGTGTATTAATTAACTAAATACACATGTATTTAATATTATTCAATATTTTGTTCTTACTAGGAATCATTATCATCATTGTCAACTCGCATATTACTCTTTCATTTTATATTGTGATTAAATGTCTTATGTTATTATTTCTTAATCAAATATTTCTCCAACTCCTTCCCCTCCTTTTGTAATGTCGAATTTATCGTTTCGCGGTTATAAGTTTGAATGCTGTGTCACGCACGAAATCGCAATAAATTTAGTAAACTTTGCGTGAGCGTTTTACCTTACCCTTCTACTTCTACTTCTTCTTCTTCTTCTTTTTCTTCTTCTCTTGTTGTTATTGCGATTACGTTATTTCTCGTTGCGTGTCCATTGTCATAAATTTATTTCTTTACTACCTCAAAACTGCTTCTTCTTCTTTTTCTTCTTCTTCTTCGTCTTCTTCGTTTTCTTCTTCGTATCGATGCTTCATTTCTTATTTTTTTTTATTTCATTTGAAACATTCGCACGCACCAAAGTGTTATATATATACATCGTCCTTTTCTTTAACACGTATGTATGACGTAACGTATGTATGTATGTATGTATGTATATGCATTTAGCTGCTGTATACACTCAATTATTACAGTTGGACGATTCTCTCGTCTCCTCATTTCGATTTGTAAATAATAATATGCTGAATTAAGAGAAATGGGATAGTTAACGAACTGATATATACGTAATCGGTTTTTATGACTTTATAAGATTGCATAACAACAACAGTAACACAATAAAAACAAATGTAATGCTGTATCCTACAGTTATGTGTAATCTCATCTTCAAAATACAAATGATGGCAGATCGTTTCCATTCGAATTCACATATATCCATAATTGAACGTGTTCCATTTCAACATGGTTCATTATCAATTTACATATATATATAACCATCCCATACTCGAATTATACTCTTATACGAATGAATTGCGTAACATTCGATAAACGATAAAATCGATGTAGATTTAAAGATTGGGGGGTGGAGGGGGAGGGAGGAGGGAGAAGAGGTATCGTACGATTTTGCTCTCCTGGTAAAATGTTGTTACCATTGGGGTGGTGGTGTACAGGTGTGTTGTATACGTTACCTCATCGATTATATTTTGGAGATTATATCTTCCTCCTTCATGTTTTATTCCTTCGTTACATTAATTAATAACGTGTTGAATGTTAATCTCGTTTTTCTGTTCTTCTTTTTTTTTTTTTTAATCATTTATTATCTATTAACACATTGTATTTTTATATTTTTGTTTTTAGGCGTCATCAAATGGATTAATCAACGAGCAGCAGCAACAGCAGCAGCAGCAGCAGCAGCATCAAGATCCGATAATTCTCGTGAAAAAGAACAATTTGTTCTTATCGACGAGGGACGACCAAAACTCCTCCTTCCATCCCCCCACCCACCCCCGCCACTACCCCTTTTTGGCGAAGTAACGATGTAAAGAGTAAAATGTAACTCGTCGTTCATGAGAAGAGAGAATTTTTAAAGAGGAATATTTACAAGGCGCAAGAAACAAGATAGAAGGGAGAGATAGGAGAAAGGAATAAGAAAATATCAAGGAAAGAAAAAGGTTCGTAAATGACATCGTGTTGACGAGTTCAATCAAAAAAAGGAATTTCCTTCTGGGTTGATTTTCTTTTTTTTTTTCCTTCAAAATTTATTCCAAGTCTTTTTTTTATCTTCGAGATGAAATTGTACTTTGCAAAGTTCTCCTATTGATATATATATATATATATATATAAATTATATAATATAATTAAAAAATATAATAATATAATATAAATTTAATATATTTATAAAATTTATATTTATATTATATATAAATAATATTATATTATACAATATATATTTAATTATTTCAATATTAAATTATTTATTATTTAAATAATAATTATTTAATTATTTAATATAATTATTTATTATTTAATTAATTATTTATTATATTTTATTATTTCACTACATAAAGCTATAAAGCTGGGTTGAATAAAGATTATCTATATTTTATTATTTAAATATAAATTAAAATAATTCATTATTTTTGCCGGTACTCAGTATTAAAAAAAGGAAAAAAGTATACCAGCCGCGAATGTGTTAACAACAACAACAACAACAACAAATAGATAATTTAAAAGAATTATATTTAAATCTTGCAAATAAATTTTTCCTTTTGCAGTGTCGTAGCTGTTTCATTTTTGATTTGGAGTAGGAAGGAGTGAAGGAAGGTGTGAAGGAGAGAAGGAAAGAAGAAAAGAAGAAAGGAGTAGCAAGAAAATTAAAAAATAGAAAGTAAGAGAGAGAGAGAGAGAGAGGGTAATATTATTGGAAGAAATTTGAGCCGTCTGGTGTATTCGTCCTTAGATTAAAAAGCTCGTTGAAGCTCGTACGATAATCGAGCTTATTATTGAAAGATTTGCTTTAGAGTGCATAAGAGAGAAAGAATATAATAAAAAAAAAGTATAGAAAAAGAATAATTATAATAATAATAGTAATAATAATAATAATAATAATAATAATAAGAATAAGAAAGATCTTAAATCAAGATGTATAGCGATCCGAATATTTGTGGGATTGGTGCGCCTACGAAGGGAGACGAGGTAGAACTTGTGAGCAGGTTTTTGGCACCTCTTTGCGCGAGGGACGAAACTGCGAGAAACATTGCATTGGCTGCTGCAAGGAGTACAGTCGAAGGATGGTTAGGTGGTGTTGGTAGTCCAAATCAATGGGAGGAAGCTACCGGTGAAATGAAGGACAACAACATCGCATCTGGAAAATTCAAGGGTCAGGATGGAAGGTTAGTCAAATATTTCAAATAATCTAACATTTTGAAAGATTTGTACAAATGATAGGGTTTATGTAATCGTGAAATTTGATTAACCCCTTAAGTTGCATGTTCGAGTGAACTTGAGCGACGTTGTATCACGTTGAGCCAAAATTGTTCCTTAAGGGGTTAAAATGTTGATGATATGTTTATGATCGGTCGATCAATGTATAAATAAAATTTGTTTAGAACAGATTAGTAAGATAATCGTAAAAGAATACACGTATTCTCTGTGTCGAAAAGGTACGACATGAGCATCGAGCGTTCACCTTCGAAATCCAGTCCGAAGAACGTAAAGAAGGAACAACAAGCGTCATCTCCGGATGCATTTAGGAGCGACTGCTTTTTTCCACAAAGTGTTACGGAAAATCCTGTTTTTCCGGAAGACGGTGGGACCGAAAGTAACGAAAAATATCCCTCGGGTTCGTTCGATTGCGTAGATGGGGGTCGTTTGGGTTCGAACGAAAGTTCGAGCTTTGGCACGCCGGTCGAGAGAAGAAAATATATGGGTGGTGGTGGTGGTACTGGTGCTGGTGGTGCTGGTGGTGGTAATAGTAGTGGTGGTGATTCCGCGGACGGGAACAGATCGGGCCGTTCTACTTCCTCGGATGAGGGGAAAGGATTCAGGATCGAACAATTGGCTGGCAAGTGTCGCAGGTTCAAGGACAACGGGACCACCGGTGAAACCCGTTTTGGTTCTAGCTGCGACAACGAGAGAAAGTATTTGATATCATCGTCTAACGAGAGGTTGAACGAGTTCACTCAAGAGGATAGGATACCGAGAACTAAGAATTATATCAAGGTTAAAGGAGCTAAGCAAAGACAACCGGAAGAAGATGATCTGGATTTAGATACTAGGGTCTATGGAAAGAGTCCAAAGTTCGATGATAATCTTGGCAATGCTTATTTCGATCGTAGGAATGTTAATTATCGTTCGAAGAGTAGCGATCTTCTCGAACGTAATAGGTATCGTTCAGATGATACAGAAATAATTGGGGCTAGATCACGTGAGAGAGTTGTTTTCAATACTCTTGATGGATTTGATAACGATAACTCTAACGACATTTATCGGGATAACGAAATTCTCGTTGAGGACGCAAATTTTGAAAATTCGGAAGACGATCTTGAGGATGGCAATCGTTCCAATTGGTTAAGGTACGAACAACAACAACTGCAACAACAAGAACAGGATTGTCTTAGGAAGAACGAGGAGAGAAAATTTAGCGCTGGTCAGATAAAAAGACCTCTGTCGCAGGACGAAGATGTATCGTCGAAAAGTGGCAGAATCCTGGACAGTCCCGAAGTTACTCCTGGCGATGTCGGTAGGATGCTTAATCTTGGAAATGCTTTGGATGGCCCGAGGCAAACTCAAGCGAACAAATATCTCAGTTTGGTGACGCTTCATCTACCAGTGATACTAAGGCTCAGCGTTAATTGTCCTTTTCAGAACGTCAGGATAAAATGTGCTGAAATACTGGAAATGGTCAAGGTAAGCTTTTCTTGTCCTTTTTTTTCTTTCTTTTTTTTTAAACGAATCGATCGATCTTTCTTTACTTTAGTTTAACAAACACAAATATATTCTTTCAAATGTTTACCACAATATTGTCGCGTTTAAAGCGCGAAACCGTGAAAAACGGGACATAGCGGGACATTATATAAATGGGAGCAGCTTTACCGTAGTTATTTGGGAACACTCTCGAACTCTTGTTCCAAAAATATCTTCCTATTTTGTCGCCAAAGCTTGCCTACCTACCTTCCTACCTACCTACCTACCCCGGTACAAACCGCGTTCGTCGACGTTTTATTAGCATCGTCAATTGCACTTGAAAAATAAGAGAACGGAAACGTGAGTCGATAAAAACTCTTACACGTGTGTGTATATATATATCTGTTGTTTGAAAGAAGAAAAGCTTCGCACAAAAACTCGTAACGGGTGGCTTGAAAACCTCCCCCTCACGACCCTGAAAGAATAAGGGAGAGTCAGGTCCCTCTTGTTATACTTTACCAATTTTTCAAGGTAGTCTAAAAATTGTCAACAAGTCCTATTTGATCTACAAGATTTTGTCAATTGATTGTATTATTATATATTTCATTTGATTTGGTTTTTATTTGATTTTTCTTTCTTTTTGTTTTTTTTACAGGATAGAGGATTACCAGTACCAGAACCGGCCTTCGATGGACCCAGTGCCTTCGTTCCCACTTCCGAGGTAAGTCATTTGCATAATACGCGAGTGTAATTATTTTTTATTCTTTTGTATAATACCGTAAACCGTAAATAATACCGTATTATATATCTCTTTGATTATTTATTTGTATCTTTTTACACCAGATTTGCGAGACGTATCTACAATTTTAATCATCGAATATTGATTTTCTAATAAAAATGAAATAACATGTGTTTTTTTTTAAATGGAAACGAAAAAATAGATGAAAATGACGTTCGTTACTTCTTGAATGCAAATAACCGATGCATTTATTAGTAGTTATACGTGAAAAGGAACCAATGAATGATTGGTTACCGCGCGAACGAGGGAGTGCATATAACTTCGTATTTATTTGTCCCCTGGTAACCTTCAATTTACTTTAATTAAGAACAATTAAGGACTCTCTCTTGTCCGCGCGAGCTTCCATAACACTTCGAAGTTGCTAATTGTAGGAACCTTTCCGATTGCAATTCTTCGTTGAATCAACCGATTGCGTAGTATTATCAATTTTTATTTTTTTTATTTTTTTTTTTTATTTCTTTTCTTTTTACATTTTCTTTTACAAATCTTTAGAAATTGTTGTTACAAATGATTCAAATGATGATTACAAATGTTGTTGTTAGTAATGATTCAATATTCTTTATGTTTACGGTGCATTTAAATTAAATTGGTTGTTTTTTTCTTAGTTCAAATTTCAAAGATTTTTGTTATTACTTTAATAATAATAATAATAATAATAATAATAATAATAATAATAAAAAAGACATTAATTTGCATAGATGTTTGAACAAGTAGGAAAATGTGAAATATTCGTTTAGATATATTTGAATTACTTTACAAATTTGCGGTTTGTACTAACTTGAGATAGAGATAAAAAAATATATATATATATATATATAAGATGCATCCTTTTGAATTTACTTTGTAGAGTGCGCTATATTCCCGCCCATGATTTGAACCATGAACTACGTCGGTAATTCAGTTTTTTCGATTATACAGAGTGAGAAAGTCGTCCTCGATATCGTCCTCGTCGTCGTCGTCGTCGTCTTCGGCGTCGGCGTCGTTGAAGATACGACGTCTATTCGTGTACCACATGCGACGATGAAATGTTAGTTTGTAGATTGTACAGATGGCGTCTAGTTCAATTGCGCGCAATCGATTTTATTTTAAATTTTAAATTTAATTTCTTACGTTAGTAAATTATCTGTTTTTTATTTTTTTGTTTTGTTTTTTTAATTATTACAAATCTGTACGATAAGAGTTACAGTAAGGAAAGAAACAACATTGCAAGAGTAATTGAAATGCAAACTGTTACAGTGCATCGTATTATTTGAAAGATTGTTTTCTATTTTTTATTTTTATTTTTATTTTTTTTTTTTTTGTAAAGTTAACTTAACACACATTTAAGTACGTCGTAAATAAATTCTTCATAGTTCTTTAGTTATTCAATACTTTATTTATGTATATGAGATAAACAACGATCAACACACAATATATCGTTCAAATTGAGTTTGTACAGGTAATCGTATCGTTTTACGTAGATTAATCATTCTTGCGTGCCACGTGTTACGGGAAAAACAGGTTCTTTTAAACGATTTTTATTTTTATTATTATTATTATTATTTTTTTGTTTAAAAAGGTTGGATGGGTATATTTACTCGTTATCGCGGAAATTACATACAACGCATGGTCGCATTTAATTGCCACTGTTTTTAGAAAAAAAAAAAAAAATGATAACAAAATTTAAAAAAACAAGACAAAAACCATAAAAGAGATTCCACATAGATTAAAAATTTATTTATACATAATAATATTTCTTTTTGAATCTCGCAAATCTGGTTTTTTTGTTTTTATTTCTTAAGTATTCAATTTTCGTATTTTTTGCAACGAGTTATAAATAAATGTCGAAAAAGAAACTATTATAATATTTATCAAATGATTACGTATTACTACGTATGCTGATTGCTAAAAAAAAGAAAAAAAAAAAAAGGAAAAAAGAACGAAATGTATATTGAATAACGTCGATTAAGAAACTGTTTCGTTATCGGATTTTTTTTTAAATATTCTCTTCGAGTTGGTGATTATAAAAAACAAAAAAAAAAAAACTGTGTCGATTTAGTTGCATATATTCGTCGACAAGAAAAAAAAAAAATAATATCTTCGAGAAAAAACGTTTAAACATAAAAGGTAAGTGAACAAAATATAATATTTATGTTATAAATTACATATTAAATATTTTATAACTATCTGACATATATTTAATTAATACACAATTATCTCTTAAGAAAAAAAAAAAAAAAAAAAAAAAATACATTCGAAAGTATGTTAGATGCATTTTCCAAGACATTCCAAAACATTCCACAAATTCCACAAAGTATTCATGTCTTATCTTATCCAAAGTTCTTAAGACAATGATAATAGGATTAGTTTAAATAATAAATCTTGTATATGTGGGGGTTGGGGTTGTATTGATCGTACAAAAATCGATCTAAATTTTCGTTATGTCGTATAAAACTGATGATGGTGTTTGTTCGTTTAGCTTTGGTTCACGAAGTTCACGAGGTTTCTAACATAAGAGAAATGGTATGGAAGGAAGCTAACGAAGAGGGGGGGGGAGGAATGCAAGCATAGAAGAGAGGAAAGAGGAAAGAGGGGGGACGCAAGTGAGAAACGACGGAATCATAGGGCAACTTAGGGGTAAAGAGAGAAAGACAAGATTCTAGGGAAGGGGTTTAGGGATGGTTGGTGGGGTTAGGGGGGGGGAGGAGGAGGTTGAGAGAAGTTAAAGGGAATCGTGCTTGGGTCAATGCAAGTTACAGCTAGCTCCACCGACCGCAAGTGGCTTTAAGTGGCTCGTATACAAGCTCCATTAAAGGTCTAATTGAATCTCTTTCTATCCCTTCCCCTACCCCACCTCACACCCCACCCCCCATGCTTCTTCTACTTGTGCACCTTGCCCTCGACTCTCTCCCCATTCCTCCCCCCCTTTCTCTTAGTTTCTTCTTATCCTCTTCTTTTCATTTCCCCCATATATGTATATATGTATATCTTCAATCAGACACTTTTGATATTTACACCGAATGTTTTTAGAAAATCCATTGAATTTATTGCTGATACAAATCCACCCTGTAGGTACGTTCACATGCGTTGTTTATATATTTGAATTGTTTAGTTTAGATTGCGACCACCGAGTTTACATACGTGTGTGTTTTCTCGACAGTTACAACGTTGCGGTAGTTTTCAATGAAATTGGTGTACGAGTTAAGGGAAAATAATTGGAAAACCCATTTAAAAAAAGAACAAAATAACAAGTAAGTAATCTTTTGAAACGTTTTGGAGAAATAATGGGAATAATGGGGGAAAAAAATATAATGGTTAGATCATTTGGTTTGGATGAGAGTGGGTGGAGTGAAAAATAGAAAAAATAATAGAACAAAACTTGAGTTGGATTTTTATCGTAGTTATGAAACACTTAAAGTACACTTTATCTCTCAGGAACTATACGAAATTTCCAGATCATTGACTTTTAAACGTAGGAACGTGTTATTGATGATAATCTTTAAAGCTCGACTTTTTACGATTACTTATTCTTTATTTTATTTTTTTTTTTTTTTTTCAACTTTTTTTCTTTCTCGTAACACTTTACTTTTACTTTTGTTACATCTCAAATTATTGAACTTTGTTCGATTCAACACACACACACACACACATTTATTGTTAAATGAAAAAACATTTACGAGAAGGATGTTTATATACAATTTTATTTAAAAAGATCAAATGTACAATTTAAATCAACGTGTATTTGAACTTTAATATTTTTTTTTTTTCTTTTTTTTTTTTGTTACATCAAAAGTCGTTTATAATTTACGTAAATGAGATGCGAACAATTAAAACGTGACCGGTTTTCCATACTGTTGATGCTGCTACTACTGCTGCTACTGCTACAGCTACTGCTGTATGATAATGATTAAAAAAAAAACAAAATATATGAGAGTAAACATTTAAATTGCATAAGTATATGAAAGTCGTAATATGAAGAAATTGAAGAAGATAAAAAAGAAAAATTAAAAAAAAAAAAAAAAATACAAATAATACTCGATAAGAGATTTATTTGAAAAATGTCATAGAGAGAGAGAGAGAGGTGTTTAAGGTTTCGTTTTTTAAAAACATCGTTCGTGATTAAAAGCTTTAGAAAGATAGGGTAGCAATAATAATAGTAGTAGTAGTAGTAGTAGTAGGTGTTTTTAAGTAGTTCGTGCTTTCTTCAGCGTAGAAAATGGGAGGGGACTAGAGGTGGCAATTGCACGGTTGTTGCTTGTTTCTGACGTGCTCCAGATGGTAATAATAACTCTTCGAGCATACGTCGTGGTTTTCGCGTTATCTGAAACTAGAAACATCAGCAGCGTGCGAAATATAATCGTGTTTTATGTAAGCTCTATCTCTATCTTCTTTCTCTTCTTTTTATTCACCTTCTTCTCTCTCTCTCTATATATATATATATATACAATGCCATATACTCACACACATCATATGTACGCACGAATGTACGCACAAGATATGGGAGTAAAGGTTTCAGAATTGGTATAATTTGTTATCCTTATCAAAGATCCTATTTCTTCAACCTTTCCATTTTTTTTATTTTTTATTTTTTACGACACACGTTACGCTTATTATTTCTCGTATTTTACTTATCACACTAATCGTAAATCATACGTCGTGTTACTCGTGATTCTCGTCATAGCGAGTATAGGACACAACAACAAAAATTCATTTACATATTAGCATAGTAAGTATAAAGCAATCGTGAATTATAGAAAATATTATATATGTATGTATGTATTTTATGAAAGAAAACATAGTGATTGGGGGGGAGGGGTGGGGGAATATTTTCTTTTCTTACAGAATCTTATCGGATAGTAGTAGTAGTAGTAGTAGTAAGCTTTTTTTTTCTCTTTCAACTTTAGTCAGCGTCTTTTCGATTGTTCAGTTACTCACCCTCGTTACTCGCTGAACAAAACCCAACGTTGTTTATCTATCCTCGTTGAAGAATTTTCTTCTAACATAGCTCGTCTGCTTGAGAGGGGCCAGTTGTGTATGTGTGTTTATGTGTGTGTATGTGTATGTAAGTCTATGAGTATACTCATGCAAAGTATTACGAGCTACTGTAATTCTCCTTGTGTATATCTCGATGGAAACTTTACTTTGAACGCAAATTACGTTTTCATCCGTTAGACGACGATGGTACCTACTTATATATATATATAAATATATATTTACTACTTCTCCATATTTTCACGTTCGTTGGGATAATCCGATGGTTTCGAGGGAAAGAAGAAGCCTTGAATCTTTCAGCTTGGCAACGACCTCTCTTTCTCTCTCTCTCTCTCTCTCTCTCTCTTTTTTCTGTCTTTTTTTTTTCCCCCTTTTAAATAAAATATTCATTTTTGTAATGGATGTCCAAAAAGTGACACGAAAATAATACACCTGTGTTAGAAAAAGAAGGTTCCATCCTGTGTATGAGAGAGATCGAATAAATGTTATCAAATGACGTTTTCTCGTTTCATCGAATGCAAGGTCGATAGACATTTGTTTTTTTTTTATTTTTTATTTTTTTATTTTATTTTTTATTTGATACGTGATCTCTCTTTTTGTTTATGACTTCAAATATTTCGCAGCTATTTATTTACGTATGCTATGCATCTATCTATTTACAGATGTACACGTAGTTACGTATATTCCTGCGTTACCTTGTAATAGTAGTAGTAGTAGTAGTAGTAGTAGTAGTAGTAGTAGTAGTAGTAGTAGTAGTAGTAGTAGTAGTAGTAGTAGTAGTAGGNGCATACCTGATAATCGGCTAAAATTCTCTGGCATTGGCCGATCGTGTGGCATCGTCGGCACTTCTAATCTGTTTTACCTTGTAATAGTAGTAGTAGTAGTAGTAGTAGTAGTAGTAGTAGTAGTAGTAGTAGTAGTAGTAGTAGTAGTAGTAGTAGTAGTAGTAGGTGGCTTTGACGATCGATACTCGTTCCCGAAAGGCTACCACACAGTGGTATCGATCATCTGTGCATTTTGATGCACTATTATAGTATAGTTATTTTCTTTTTTATCTTTGATATTCTCTTAAGGTCATTCCGTTAAGTTCTTCTAAATTTTACATCAACGATATCAAACAATTTTCTTATCACTTATCAAACGATATATTTGATATATACACTTTACCGACCGCTAGGGTTTCAACAGCATATGCACGTCTGATTGACAGTTCAGTTGCAGATTCTACTAACAAATTTTAATAAGATTCTAAATAAGATTTTAATAACAAATTATTGTGTTCATGTAATAATAGTGATTCTTTATCGCAATATCAACCAATAACTAAGTTTTCGGTACGTGACCAAAAAAGTGATTAACACATTCGTAACCGCTGATGTGAATTCACGTCTGTTCAAGTTTTATTTCTGGTTGACGTTGAGGTGATTCACGTCATATTTTTTATTTTAAAAATTTAATACAAATAAATTTATATATGCATATATGTATATATGTATATAAATTAAAAAGTGTATATTATTTTATTATTATTTTATTATTACTTGATTAGTATTTTATATACATAAATTTATATTTACATATTTATAAAAATTTTATATTTTAAATTTATATTTAATTACTTAAATATAATAATTAAATATTATATATTATATATTATTATATTATTTTAATATATATATATAATATTAAAAATATAATATTTATAAATATAATATTCAAATAATTCTATTTTATTATTTAAATATATATTTAAATAATTTAAACTTTTTATCTTTATATTTATATATATAGAATATATGTAAAAATTATTGTATTTTCAAAATGTCATTATTTTTGCCAAAACTTAATATAAGAAACGGAAAAAAATATATGCCGGTCGTGAATGTGTTAATAAATTTTTGTTCGGTAAGCGTTGGTGACAAAAAAAAGCGGTCGTTAAAGTGTTAACAATTTCTATCACAATATACTTCTAGATAAATAAATAGATAGATTGATAGATAGATAGATAATTAATCGTGCGAACATATGTTGTTCTGTAAAATGAAAGAAATCAATGAAATGAAGAAATAAATCGATACGATTATCTTCCCACGCTTGTTGTTAGCTTATCATTCGATAATCATGAGTTTTGATATATAGAAGGCTCGTATCAACGACGTTTCTTATTGGACCACGTATATATATATACATATATATATTTATTATATGTATACTGTACAGTATAGTCATAAGTATGTATACTTTGGGTATCAGTTGAGGAACGTTCAGCCCACACTTCGTTACTACTTGACCCCTCTTTGAGATAAATAAAATCTGATTTTAAATCATTGAATTCGCCGAAGTATAATAATTTTCTATTTTCATTTCTATCTGCTTTTTTGTTTTTGTTTTTTCAATTCTCTCCTTCCCTCTTATTGCTTTTTTTTTTCTTACTTTTCTATCGCACACGATTTTATTTTAAACTTCGTTTCCGATCCCCCCACGTCATCGAAAGGGATTTCTTTTAACAACTTTTAAATATAATATCGACATGTATACAGAATTCAAAAGTTATACAAAAAATATACGAATGAACAGATACGTATATAAATACATAGATAATAAATACGTATATAAATACATATATTTATATATTAATAATAATTATATAATTTATGTTAACACATTCGCGACCGGTGACGTGAAATTCACGTCATTTTAAATTGAAAAAATTTAATATAAATAAATTTTTATAATATTTAAATAATTATATTTTATTATTTAAATATAAATTTAAATAAATTATCATTTTGGCCGGTACTCAGTATTTAAAAAAGGAAAATATATGCCGGTCGCGAATGTGTTAACAATATATATATAAATATATGTATATAAATATATATTTAGTCATAGTACACATTTTCAAGTAGTTTGCATGTTTGCAAAGGAAGTAAGGGAAGAAACGGGAAGAAAAAGGAAGAAAAGAGAAGGAAAGAGAAGGAAGGAAGGAAGAAAGAGAAGGAAAAGGGAAAGATCTATCGAAAGAAGTTCGATTCTATCGAACTGGTTTTCCTTTTGCCATAAGACCATTGGTTCGTTCGTTTTCGGTTTCTCTCTGACTCACATTCTGATCGTTAGGTACAAGGTTTGGGTTGGAAGAAGAGGAGAGGGGACTTAGAAAAGATCGTGGGGAGGGGGAGGGTGGGAGGGAGGTAGGGAGAGATGACTAGGAGCGCTTGCTCGTCGGTCTCTTGCGTTCATTCCAGCGTCAGGTACTGTTGAGGTTACACGTGTTTTCAATTCGATCCGTCATTTAAAATTCGTCGCGTTAGAAAACGTGTCGTTCGTATTTAGCAAACTTGTTTGCTTTTATTTTTTTCTTTCTCTTTCTTCCTTTCTAACGAATAAAAACATAGACGACCTTCACCTTCGCGAGTGAGTGTATTTGTCTATCTCTATTTAGCCTTAGCTGTTTTAATATAATTCGTATTCCTAGAGACAGACGACAAGTAATAGTAGTAGTAGTAGTAGTAATGTTTTTATTTTCAATTGAGTCGTAAATTCGCCTTGTTCTCGATTCTTTAACGATTCGTAACTGTGTTTCTATCTTGAAGGACTCACGTGCTTCCTACGTTGAATTTGTGTGCTAAAAAGAGAGAGAGATAGAGAGAGAGAGAGAGAGAGAGAGAGAGAGAGAGAGGAAGAGAAAAGCCACATTGCGTCATATAATTGTTCTCTTCGTTCACCCACGCATATATTTTTGTTCTCTCTCTCTTTTTCATTAACACTTTACCAACCACACTAGGTCTACTACTATCAACATCTTTGCTTTGTTAATACATTGTAAGTATATATAATTTTACACACACACACACATATATACATATTTATATATGATTTATTTTTGTTTGTTAAATTGTTCATTTTTATATCTTGATTATTAGACAAATATTTTTCAATTGGTTATCTTGTTTATATGTGTTATGTGTATTTATCGATAAAATATTCTTAATGATAACAAATTTATGACGAATTTATTGTTTTATTTTTGTCTGTTTGTTTGTTTGTTTGTTTGTAATTTTAATTTTAATTTTAATTTTAATTTTTTCTTGAAGATTTTCCCTATGGGTCGTTTTCCTTACGACCGTAAGCATCTTTTTATAGAATGACATTCAATGTCTACGATCTACGAGCTCTAAGAATAAAAGTAATATACTATATTTAGATTCACATGATCGAAATATGCGATTTAAAGTTTTTCTAATATTTCTTTTTTTTTTTTTTTCTTATATTTTCTTTTTGATTTATGCGCGATTGAATATATATATATATATATATATATATAATTGAAAGATTTAATGCAATTTTTGTATTTATTTATTTATTTATTTATTTATTTATATCAAAGTGTTGAAGAGTGAACATTTGTGTAAATTTTCTTTCATGTTAGAATAAGATTTTAGAATATTATTTCTGTAAAAAAAAAAAAAAAACTATTCGGGTGTAGAAAATGCGAACTATTTTCTGACCTGCAGACCAGTCTGACTGAACAAGGCCATCCTGAATTCTTAGAATTAGGGTTTTTGGGATAATAGGTAGAAAATAAGTAAAGGTTGCTGTGTTGTATGCTGTGCGAACACGAATAACTTTTCTCAAGGGTTTTATGTCTACGTGATTTTTTTTTTTTTTTTTTTTTTTATTTGAAAATTTTACTTTTCTTTTGTTTTTTTTCAAACGATAGAGAAAACATTTGATAACAATGTTAAAAATGACAATTCAATATTCGTTCGTTAAAAACGAATTTTTATTTCTATTAGTATTATCAAAATTCTTTTTTAATTATTTTTTGATAGAATGATGAGATGATACAACATCGACGAAAAATTTTGGTTTTTAGTTTCAAATTCAGTCTCGTCGTTTATTCGAATTTAAAAAAAAAAAAAAAAAAAAAAATAAGAAAGAAAAAAAACAACGTTTTCAATGCTCGTTAACTGCATTTAGAAGAAAATAATATTTTTCTTTCTTTTTTTTTATTTCATGCGCGTGACTTTTTATACGAAGTGAAGTAGTAAAAGAAGAAGAAGAAGAAGAAGAAGAAGAAAAAGAAAACCGTATACGTTGAATAAGAAAAAAAAACAAAAACAAAAATTTGACTTTCATATTTATATATATATATACAGAACGGAAATGCAAATGCGTTATTTTAATTGCATCAAAGTCAATGACTTCTTATTATATTATTTTGATAGACTTATTATTTTAAATATAGTAGCATTTTAATGATTGTTTCAATTAATAATAGAACGATTTAATATTACAGATTCAATTTGATATTAATTTTTGATCATGTTTCCATAAATGTGCCCATAATTATGAAAGTGGTCTGAGTAATGTATCTCTTGTTTCGAGATATTTAAAGTTATTTATATTTAAACACTATATGAATTTTATTTAATATTGAAATAACAAACATTATTTTTAACAATTCATTTTTAACAATATCGTGAAAATTACATTGAATTTGAAATAATGTCTTTGTATATATATATATATATTATTATATACTATATTGTATTTTTATTTTATATATGTTATATTATATACTGTATTATATATTTATATTATATATATATTATTATATACTATATTGTATATTTATATTATATAAATTATATTATGTACTATATTATATATTTATATTATATATATTATATTATATACTATATTATATATTTACATTAT